CTCTCAGTGTACATAAAAGAAAAGATACATTCGTCAAGAGTCAAGAATCATAAGGTACAACACTTAATAATAGTCATAGGGTACAATAAGCAATCAAATCAAACTAGGAAACAGTCAATATAAATTATAAGGATACAAGCAACAAAGTTACAGTCATACAATCAACAAGTGGGAGGGGATGGGTGATAAGGAGTGATGAGAAGGTTAATAGTAATAGTAGTGCAGACTTTGTAAATAGTTGGACAGTATTGAGGGAATTATTTGTTTAGCACAGTGATGGCGTTTGGGAAAAAACTGTCCTCGTGTCTAGTAGTTCTGGTGTGCAGGGCTCTATAGGCTCATTTTGAGGGATTGCAAATCTTGATTGCAAATCTTTCACTTATACACGAGTTGAATTTCCAAGCGTGGACTATAATCCAATGGACTCTAACAGATACTGTTGAGAAAAGCTCATCTGAACTTATGAATTTGCCTAACATTTTCAGTTGGGACACTGACCTCTTGAGAACAGACCATTTCAACCTAATTACCTTTCTTTTCTTGATTGGCCCAGAATTCTCGGACACGTTTGTGAATGTTCTTTGTCTCCCTCAAATGTTTTTGCCACTGGCGTAATTCCTGAACTTCAGGATCACAACGGACCTAGAAATGGGAAATGTATGGGCCTGGGTAAGAAACTCTGGAGGTATCCGTGGAGTCAATCTCAAAGGTGCTTTTTCAAAAAGCAAATGGGTTATTTTTTTCCCCTTGAAGTTGTTTTGCTTCTCATCCAAGAAGCTTCATCAGTTCTGGCTGTATGGTAGGCAGAGGGAGTGGAAGGATAGCAGAACTAATCTATTCCCCCTCACCATTCAGCCAGAACTGATGAAGGTTCTTGGATGAGAAGTGAAATTTCTTCAAGGATAAAACAATGTCTACTTCAGCTTCAACTACAACAATATAAGAGCACACAACAGATGCAAACTCAATGTAAACCACTCCAAACTTGATTGCAGGAAGTACGACTTCAGTCAATGCCTGGAATGCACTACCTGACTCTGTTGTTACACCCTCTAACCTCCACTCCTTTAACCTCAAATTATCCACGATTGACCTCACCCCCTTCCTAAGAGGTCTGTAAGGGGCATGTATAAGTGCACCATCGTGCCTCCCGTCCCTGTCCTATTGTCCCCATTTATTTGTACCTACTTCCTGTATTCATACTCATGTTTATTCTTATACCTATTATCTTGTAAGTGATTGACAAATCAAATAAATAAAAATAAATAGTCCAGTTGCCTTCTGAAAAAAGCGCCTTTGAGACAACCATGACCTGGATGACTGAGAATCTCCAGAGATATTTAGGAATGATATTTTCCATAGAGAAATCTCCATAGACATGTTGAGTCAATATTAAATAGCCTTCTTGAGAACATGATGTCAACTCCCCAAACTCAGTTCTCTATTGATGACATTAAGTACTGTATTTAGATGCCTGGCCCATGCAATCACCAAAAGGCAGACACGACTGAATGGATACCACCATCATCATCATGTATTTGGGAGTGACCAAAAGCCCTTTTTCAAACGTCAACTGAACTTCATTTTTTTCTTGAAGAGGTTTCGCTTCTCATCCAAGAAGATTCTTCAGCTCATGAACCCGGGCCCCAAAGGTGCTTTTTCAAAAGGCAACTGGACTTCGTTTTTTCCTTGAAGACATTTTGCTTCTCTTCCAAGAAGCTTCTTCAGTTCTCTGAAGAACTGAGCAAAACCGAATAAGCTTCTTAGATGAGAAGTGAAACATCTACAAGGGGGAAAAAAACGAAGTCCAGATGCCTTTTAAAATAAGCACTTTTGGGACAACCATGGCCTGGATGACTGAGGATCTCCACAGATATTTAGGAGTGATATTTTCTAACTGATTGGTACAAAGAAACCCGAGAACAACAACGCATCCATTTAACTTCTGGCTGCGGAGTGATCTTTGGGGATCTTCCTTTATCCACCCGCCCACCCATCCATCCACCTCCCACTCTCTCTCTAATTGAACAGAGACTCATCAGGACAGAATAAGCTACCAATAGGATTACTTCTTATAATGGAAACTATCGGATGTCTGCTATGTCTGGCTTAAAATAGCAACAGGAGTATATAAGTAGCAAATCCCCAGCCTTATCCTTTTGGTTGACCTTCAAATCCAGATTGGGAGGATGTGTCTCAGGCAACCCTCTCTTTCTACTCTCCAACCCCATGTGCCTTCCTGTGCCGAATAAAAGCAGGACAACAAAGAGCACGCTGGGTCACAGCAATCAATCCCCCCCCCCACCCGCCCACCAATCAATCAACCAACCAAACATACAACTTCTCTAGTAGAGGATTAGAGCAAAGGCGCTTTAATCCACGCTATCATGTTTCCAGCAGAAGCTGGACAGAAAATCCACAAATGGGACATGCCAGCCAGAGGTCCTCCTCTTACAGTCCTCCACTGGGCTAGTTTTATCTCACATGTTCTATGGGCTTACTCTGTTCTATGGGCTTACTCCCAAGCTGGTTTTGAGCCTCCAAACTGAAGGTCAACCAGCAGGAAACAAGTTATGGCCACCATGTTGCTACAGTGGCCATTTTGCTGAGGCTGCCTTCAACGTGCTTTTGAGTCTCCCAATTTTTTCCGGCAGATCTGACTGATTTAGAGCCTCAAAAGGTATGCCAGGACACGGATTCGTAGGTAAAACAACTAAAATCTTGCAACGTTTAGCTGGCAAAAGTCAGGGGATTGGGCATGGGTGTGTGTTTAAAGATTATTTATTTTTAAAGGACTTTGGGGAGGACTTCAGGAGGAGAAGTTGGGATAGGCAATTGTCATCTCAAGGACAAGAGTTAGAAATATAAGAAGGCTGTCCTCTCATAAAACATCTTTGTGTTTTCTTAGCTCTTCACTGCCTCTCGTTATGACTCATTACCCTTCATTTTCCTCTCCTACACTCTCTTTTTCTCCTTCCTTTTCAAATACCAAGTATCCTGTTCTTTGCTTATTCTTCTCCCCCAGTTTGCTGAGTCCTTCGACCTTGTGACATGTGTGGTTTTAATTAGATTATCATCTGGACCAATGTTTCTCAATGCTGGTAACTTTAAGATATGTAGACTTCAATTCCCAGAAGTCCACAAGTCTTAAAGTTGGCCAAGGTTGAAAAACACTGCTGTGAACTAAACAAGACAAGGGACAACGTGACTTGAAGATGTTCTTGGCCCCTGATCATATCTGCTTTTGAACATCTAGCATTGTGGGAAACCAAAACTGAGTTTTGCACCATCAGCAACTTTCCTCCCACAACCATATCACAACTGACCAATGGCTGCTATGCAAATCCGTAGTCCACCTGCATCTTTGTAGACATTTATAGCACTTGGCGTTGAAACCCTAAACAGGGGTTCCTCTTGAGTCTGCTGCCTGGAGGAAACATCCGGCAAATTATAGAGGGGTCTTACCCGATAACCTTTCCAGAAGGTTTGGATGATGTGGCTGGCATCTTTCTCAGTGAGCAGAAGAGACAGAGGAACGGGAGGCCTAGGACTAGAGAAAATATTTCCATTTCAAAATCATGCATCTTTTCTTTATTATTATTATTAATTATATCCCGCCCGTATTATTTTTACAAATAACTCAAGGCGCATCCAACACGTCTTCCTCCTCCTGTTTCCCACACCACAACAACCCTGTGAGGTGGGTTGAGCTGAAAGTGAGGGATTGGCCCAAAGCGATCCAGCTGGTTTTCATGGCTAAGGCGGGACTAGAACTCACCGTCTCCTGGTGATTGGACCAAGATCACCCAGATGGCTTTCACACCAGAGGTGAGACTAGAACTCCCAGTCTCCTGGTGATTGGAACAAAGTCACCCAGCTGGCTTTCATGCCTAAGGCAGGACTAGAACTCACCATTTCCTAGTGACTGGCCTAAAGTCACCCAGCTGACTTTTATGTCTAAGGTGGAACTAGAACTCAGTGTCTCCTGGTGATTGGCCTAAAGTCACCCAGTTGACTTTCATACCTAAGGTAGGACTAGAACTCACAGTCTCCTGATAAATGGCATAAAGTCACCCGGCCAGTTTTCATACCTAAGACAGGACTAGAACTCACAGTCTCCCGGTGATTGACCCAAAGTCAATCCTCCATGATGTTTACATCCCATCATTTTCCCGGGAGAAATACAAGCTTGCCCTTCCTAACATTGCAGTACGAATTCCATCCATGCCGGCCCTGGGCTTCGTTTTTCAAATCACAAGGCTCTTTCACAGGGGAACCGATCCAAGACTAAAGTAGGAATGGGACGTAGATCACTCACGTCCGACAGGGAAGGGCTTCGTGTCCAGAAATCCAATCGGCGGAGACCTCACCCATTTCCAGTCCAAAGGAGCCGAAGTCACCCCAAATCCATTTTATCCACTGGAACAGGGGTCCCCTACCTTGGCAACTTTAAGACTTGTGGACGTCGACTCCCAGAACTCCTCGGGCCAGCTATGGGGGGTTGAAGTCCACAAGTCTTAAAGTTGCCAAATTTGGAGACCTCTGCACTGGAATATTAGTAATTGACTTTAGGTGGAAGGGAAATAGGATATCAGCAGGCACAGGAGTGAACTGGGCAAGAGGGAGTGAATTATTTGGGGCAGGAGACAATCCCAAGATGAATCAGCTGACAAAGCAGCTGTGCAGGGAATGTGCAAGGTGTGTTGGTTGCAAAAAATAAATAAATTACAAACACTCCCTGTGGAGCACCGGTCAATACAGCAAAAAGGCTCTGTCTCGTGTGCAATTGGATTTCCCAGAATGATCTGGCACCGCTTGGATGCCCTCGAGGGGCCAAGTTTTCAGCCAGAAGAAGCAGATAAATCTAACGCCGGGAAGAAAAAACGGGACAGCAGCTAGATTAATGATCGACGTCAGTGTGGTATCTTCTTCTTTATGGCATTCACTGAGGCAACTTGGTCAAAATAATGCCGGGAGCCTGGAGATCTGTTTGGAAAAGGTTTGCCAGAAATATGAAATAAATAAATAAATAAATAAATAAATAAATAAATAAATAAATCAGGCTGTTTGCAAAAACACTGTTTGGTAAAATGAGCCAATTAGGGATTCTGTCTCGGGTTTCCTGACCTTGCCTCCCTCGGCGGAGGGGGACTCTCTATCGGATGCAACATTTGCCCCGAGATCTCCCCCGTACAGATCTCTTGATCTGCCATCCCGCCCGCCATCCTAGCGTACAGATCCCCTGGGTGGACAACTCGGCTTGTTGATGCAAATCGAAGATGCCAGGCGCAGCTTGACGTTCATCGGGGTTGACAGGCCGAAAGCTGCAGCCCTGCAGGGTTTCTTGTGCCGATGTTTCGAGGCAGCAGAGCAACCCTCCCTGCACGTTCCCTTCCCTGATTTGGGACAAGTGCGGGGGGGGGGGGGGGGGGGGGGGCGGGTTGACGTGGAGACACTGGGACACGGTTGGGATGTGTTCATTTTTTATTTTATTTTTTTATTTTTTTTTTGGGTCTGGGATTTCTTTCTGGGGGTTGTTTCCGAGGGCTTAGCCAAAGAAGAGTCTGCTCGGAATTTAGGGACAAGCTGCTTGACAGCTTTGTTGACGGGTGTCTTGAATTAAAGAAAGGGAAAACAGAGACAAAGCAGCAGCAGCAGAAGACCTGGAAAATAGCGTGCAAACTCGAGTGGCCCAGATGGGAAGGGAGCTGCTGAGGCTTTTCGGTTCTGTTGGAAAGGGAAAACAGCAGAGGGTTTTGCAAACAAAAAACAAAAAAGGGACAGAAAGCCTCTTTTTTAAAATAATAATAATAATAATAATAATAATAATAATAATAATAATAATAATAAGAATAAGAATAAGAAGAAGAGAAAGAAAGAAAGAAAGAAAGAAAGAAAGAAAGAAAGAAAGAAAGAAAGAAGAAAGAAAGAAAGAAAGAAAGAAAGAAAGAAAGAAAGAAAGAAAGAAAGAAAGAAAGAAAGAAAGAAAGAAAGAAAGAAAGAAAGAAGAACTGGGAAGGGTAACAAAATACAAAGACCTGTAAGTAGAAATGGAGTGACCGTGGCAAAAGAAAGAAAGCAAAGGTTTGTGCCAATAGCAACAGGCACCTTTGGTGCAATCCCCAAACATCTGGAGCACCAGATCATCGGCACTGACGCAATCCCCATCAGTCAATTGCAAAAGGCAGCTTGACTTGGAACAGCTTACATCCTGCAACGATACCTCTAATACCATCAAACATCAATATTTGCCTATCCCAGGTCCATGGCTGGCTGGGGGATTCTGGGAGTTGAAGTCCATACATCTTAAAAGTTGTCTAGGCTGAGAAAGGCTAGTATAAGCCCAATAAACTTTCTGCACTTCTAAATGCCTCCGATCCAGTGTGGACATGGCTTAAAACCCAATCATGAATTATCTTCTCTCCCTTTTTCACTTCTTCAGTTTTCAATCCGTTTGTCTTTAATCCATTGTCTGAATGCAACAAAAGGCCATTCCAAGTTATTCTGTCAGCTTTCAACGGTTGGATTGTTCATCTTTATTCCGTGGTTAATTTCAAGCTGCATTTTAATTTTATTTCTTGCGGTCTGCTTGTTTTAAACCTCGTTAACCCCCTGGAGATTTTCCTTGGAGAAGGAAGACGGGAGTATCATTCAACCGTGCAAACAAATACAATTTTAGAAACCGTGTTACGCACACCTTGGCTTTCTTGTGTGTTTTACAGATCAAGACTTCTTTAAATAAAGAGAGAGGAATCGGTAAGCATCCTTAGCATTATGCCCTAGAAGCCGGCCCAATATCAGGGACTTGAAAAGGAATGATTAGGGTACCAGCTGGTGTAAGGACAGGCAGATATTCAGAAACAGAATAACAGAGTTGGAAGGGACCTTGGAGGTCTTCTAGTCCAACCCCCCCCTGCTCAAGCAGGACAAATGGTTGTCCAATTTCTTCTTAAAAACTTCCAGTGTGGGAACACCCACAACTTCTTTTGACAAGTTGTTCGACTGATTGATGGTTCTCGCTGTTGGGAAATTCCTCCTTAGTTCTAAGTTACCTCTCCTTGATCAGTTTCCATCTGTTCCTTCTTGTCTTGCCCCCAGGTGCTTTGGGGAATAGGCTGTTCTTCTTCTTCTTCTTCTTTCTTCTTCTTCTTCTTTTTCTTCTTTCTTCTTTCTTCTTCTTTCTTCTTCTTTCTTCTTCGTCTTCTTCTTTCTTCTCCTTCTCCTTCTCCTTCTTCTTCTGGCAGCCCCTCAAATACTGGAAGGCTGCCGTTGTCTCTTATCATTCATCAGACCAAGTGAATGGCAGGGGAAAGGGAATGCAAAGCCACTCAGCCATGCGAAATTAGCCCTGAGGGTCAATTGAAAACTAACAGGAGGGATGGGAGCTGTAAAGGCGACCCAGACTAGCAGACTTGGGGTGGGTGGGGGGCATTAGAATATGAAAAGGAGAAGGGAGTGGGAACACTTGACATACTTACCACCCCCTTCCCGAAATGTGTTAGTGAAACAAAGTAAATAGCGGCCATCTTGACGACAGAAGACGGAGGGGGTGGTGGAAGCAAGCCGGAGAGAAATTCTTTGGAGGATACAGAGAATTTATTTATTTATTTATTTATTTATTTATTTGATTTGCCAATTGTTTACAAGATAATAAGTATAAGTGTATACATAGTTGTGAATACATGAAATGGGTACATATAAGAAAAATAAAAGAAGAATAAGAGAAACAATAGGACAGGGACGGTAGGCACGTTGGTGCGCTTATGCACGCCCCCTACAGACCTCTTAGGAAAGGGGTGAGGTCAATAGTAGACAGTCTAAGGTTAAAGGTTTTGGGGTTTGGGGAAGAAACTACAGAGTCGGGTAGAGTATTCCGACATTGACCACTCTATTGCTGAAGTCATATTTCCTGCAATCAAGTTTGGTGCGATTAACCTTGAGTTTGTATCTATTGTGTGCTCTTGTGTAGTTATGGTTGAAGCTGAAGTATTCATTGACAGGTAGGACATTGCAATGTATGATTTTATATACCATGCTTAAATCAGACCGAAGACGGCGTAATTCAAGGTTTTCTAGTTCTAGAATTTCAAGTCTGGTGGCAGAATGAGAGTAGGACATGAGAAGCTGCCCGCATGATGAGGTTCTGACAATCTTGACAATGCCAGCTTACTGAAGGGCATTGTCACCTGAGTCGGATGCCCCCTAGGAACCAGCTGGCTGTGGGCAAATGACACAAGAAGCCACCCCGCCAACGTAGAAATGTCTTGGCGATTTCCTTTTCGTGGCCTGGCGATACGGGGCCCTGGGCGAATTTGAATGCGAGGCCAGTTCCAGCTGAATATGGCACAATGTTCTTATTATATCCTCCCTCCTGTCTTCCTTCTCGGCAGCATCCTGGATGTCTCATAACCATCCACGGAGTGCGAAGGGGCCAAGGCACTCCGATCATCGTCCCAGTCAGGATGGAGTCAGGATAGGGAAACACAATGGGCGCTTTTAGGAGCAGCATCAAGAATGAAAACCCACATGTGTGTGTGGGGGTGGGTGGGGAGAAAGCATCAGTGTAAAACAGGGCCTCGAGGTTCTTGTCCCAGAGAAACTTTATTTGTTTATGTATTGGGTTTTTAATCATGCCTTTATTACCTTATTGCCCAGAGGATCATGGGTTGCCCTCTCCCCTCTTTGGAAGAGCTTTATAGCTCCTGCTGCCTTAAGAACTTTCAAAACATTCTCAAAGATCCAACTCATCCTGGCACTCTTTTTTTTTTTTAACTATTACCATCTGGCAGACGGTACAGGATAATAAAAACAAGGACAAATAGGCTGAAAAACAGCTTCTATCCCAGGGCAGGAGCTCTGTTGAATTCTACTGTACAGTGCAACATGAATGCAATATCAGGGGTTTTCAATTCAATTGCACAGAAGGCGAAGGATGTGTGTTTGTGTTTTATTTTTATAGTTATAATGTACACTGAAGATGGCATTTAATTTCGTTGTACGGGGTGCAGTGACAATTAAAAAATAAACTAAACTAAATTTATAGGTAATTCAGGTGTGAACATCTGTGATACTCCTTGCTCTACCTATTTCCCCCTGTGCTGAGAGTGACTAGAACTCCCAGTCTCCTGATGATTGGCCCAAAGCTATCCAGTTGGCTTTCATGCTTAAAGTGGGACTAGAATTCACCGGCTCCTGGTTTCTGAGCCTGGAGAAACTTATGTCACTGAATGGCAGGGATTCCATTATCCTACATTCATTCTCTGGGGGAAACTACTTAGAATGATAAGCCAGCCAGAATTGCTTCCTTGAATTAAATTCATTAAGGAATTTAATTGTTAAACAAACAGCAGTATGTGAGTCAATTCAGTCTATCCCTTACCCAAGACACAAAAACTCCAGGCCAGTCCCTCTCACTCGGCCCTAGGAAGGAGGCCGTGGCAAACCACTTCTGAAAAACGTAGTGAAAATTCAGTGATTTGCACTCTCCCTTCCCTTGTGCAAATACATCTAGGAAGATACATTATTGGCAAGGAAGCGATGGCCGTATTGACCTGGGTATCGGAGGGTTGTGATTGCGCTGACGGAAGAAGAAATGGAAACTGAAGAGGGACATGTGGGTTGCGCTTCGTTCTTTCACAGAAAAGCAAGCGCAGCGAAAGATGGAAGTGGTGTAAACCACGAGGAATACTTACTGATCCTTTAACCAATCCTTCACAAAAGGGATCTCGAAAAATTCCAGGAAGGGCTCATCTCGTCTCTTCGCGTTGTGGCTGGAAGGATCAGCATCGTGGGGGAAAAACAGACAGGCATAAAACTGAGAGTGATGGCTAAGCGTACAGGCAGTCCTCAAATTACGGCCACAATGGAGCCCCAAATTTCCATTGCTAAGTGAGACATTCGTTGAGGGAGCTTTGGCCCTGTTTTACGATCTTCCTTGCCACAGTTAAGTGAATCAAGTTAGTAACACTTGATTGTGTCAACCCTGAAGCTAGCACTTCAGTGTCAACCCTGAAGCTCATCTGATCGATAGGGAGAGTATTAACTCATAAAATATTTGTATGGTCTTTTTAGAGTTGCCAACAGAAAGGGAGAGGGGAATCAGTGGGCAGCTTGCATTCCATAAATGTTTTCAAAGATAGTTTCTAGGTGACTGAAGTTTCTGCCTTAACTGGAGAGCATGATTGATGACACTGGGCTATGGATGTGTCCCATTGGAGAATATGAATTACAATACATCCAGGGGGTGGGGGAAAACCAGGGTCAAGCGTGACAATGAATGATGTGCCTCAGAGTCGGCTGCACCCAGGCAGTGCCAGCATGTCTTCTCCTAATAAATCGGCTAGAGACTCATGATTTAAATGGGGGGAAACTGACGGAGCCCTGACAGCGGGGAAGATTTGAGATAGAAGGGATTCTTAGCCAAAACAAAATATTTTCTCTTGGGAACCAAGGACATTCTCGCGCCTGGTTGGAGGAAGGCGGAGTGATGCCATCCGGTTGCCAATCTGCACCATGATTGGACCATGTGACCGATGGTTTTGAGCAGTGGTGGGATTCAAATTTTTTTTTTTACTACCGGTTCTGTGGGTATGGCTTGGTGGGCGTGGCAGGGGAAGGATACTATGAAATCTCCAGTCAGAGGCGGTCCTTGCCAGTTCTCTGAACTACTCAAAATTTCCGCTACCGGTTCTCCAGAACTGGTCAGAACCTGCTGAATACCCACTTCTGGCTTTGAGAAAGTAGAAAAACTTTTACTTTTAATTAGGTGAAAACCGCGGGTCTCTTACATGGAACCCTGACAACAAGGTTGTTAAATGAATCTGGCTTCCTCGTTTGACTCTGCTCGTCAGAAGGTCGCAAAAGGGGAACACGTGACCCTGGGACACTGCAACCGTCATAAATACGAGTCAGTTGCCAAATGCCTGAATTTTGATTTCAATGACCATGGGGACGCTGCAATGTTTGTAAGTGTGAAAAATGGTCGTAAGTCACTTCTTCAGTGCCGCTGTAAATTCGAACGGTCACTAAACGAGCTGTTGTGAGCCGAGGACGATCAGAATTGGTCTCTGCTTAGGAGGAGGAGGAAAAACATAACGGAATCATCTTCAAATACTTAACCCCGAGCAAGAAACTTACTTGTATAACCACTCTGTCAGGAAATCAAGAGCGATAAATCGTGTCTGTTTCCTCTGGAAGAAGAGAAGAGACATCGAGTTCAGGAAAACAATGATGAGAAACGATAGGAGGTTTTTATTTTTATTCTACTTTCTCTCCAAAGGGCAAGTGGACATTGCAACGGAGGCCACGTTCCAACAGATTAAAAGGTGGTGGGCATCCACGGGGCAACAAGGGAGGGTATATGACCATGCCATATACCTCTCTCTCTCTCTCTGTCTCTCTCTCAACCCACCCCACCTCACGGGGTTGCCATGGTGGGGAAAATAGGAGCAGGAAGGAGCATGGGGTGTGTGTCTTTGTCACCTTGAGTTGTTTATAAAAATAATGGTGGGCTATAAATATTCATGCAAATGATGGTATTTATGGGCTGTGATTGCATCCGTTGGAGGTAATAATGGCAACTGTACAAATATGTCCTTGTGTCCCAGGGAGAATGAATACATGGGTGCCCGACTGATAACCATTTGAGTGTTCGACGTTATGACGGTCCTGAAAAGAGTGACTTAGGACTGGTCCTCGCGCTTATGACCTTCACAGCATCCCCATCATAGAATGATCAAGAGAAGGAGAGGGAGGGAGAGAGGAAGAGGAAGAGGGGACAGAGAGAGAGAGAGAGGGAGGAAGGAGGGGAGAGAGGGAAGGAAGAGAGAGAGAGGGACAGACAGATACAGAGAGGGAGGGAGGGAGGGAGAGATAGAAGGAAAGGGGGGAGAGAGAGGAAGAGGAAAGGAGGGGAGAGAGAGAAGGAAGAGAGAGAGGAGGAGAGGGAAAGATAAAGAGAGGGAGGGAGAGAGATGGAAAGAGGGAGAAAGGGAGAGAGAGGGGGAGGGAGAGATAGAAGGAAAGGGGGAGAGAGAGGAGGAGGGGGAAAGGTAAAGAGAGGGAGGGAGAGGGATGGAAAGAGAGGGAGAAAGGGAGAGAGGGAGAGATAGAAGGAAAGGAGGGGAGAGAGAGAAGGAAGAGAGAGAAGAGGAGAGGGAAAGATAAAGAGAGGGAGGGAGAGGGATGGAAAGAGAGGGAGAAAGGGAGAGAGGGAGAAAGAGAAAGAGAGAGGAGAAAGTGACAGGAGAGGGAGAGAGAGAGGAGGAGGAGAGGAAGAGAGGAGGGAGGGAGGGGGGGAGGGGGGGGAGAGGGGGAGAGGGGGGGAGGGAGAACTCTCATCTAGACCGTTATGCCTCCAGACTCCCTTGGGGAGATTAGCCCATCATCTTTCCAGTATAGATTCAATAATTGATCGAAACGGATGGCTCTCCTGGAATGAGGAGGTCCCGGCACAGCCACCAAAAGCGTTTAACAGCCTTACCGTATTTATTTTTCAGGCTCGGCTCGGCTGCCTTTAAAGAAAGCAAGGAGGCCAACTCTGCGCACAGCTGGGCTGGGTTAGGCACACCCGGATATGCACAGGAAACCTCCATAACAATGTGCATTGTTCACCGGCAGATGGGCTGCACGCTATTTTCCACAAGGAGAATTAATCTCCCATTCTTGACGGGTGTTTGCGTTACACTCGGGAACACAATGCAGGGCATCAGATCATTTTCTGCCACCCTGCTTGCTTTATTTTACAGATACGCCCACCGCCCCAGATGCTCTTTTGCACAGTTCAGGGCTTCTAGTGAAACACATAACCTCATAACCTGTATTTCTGTGGCTAAATGAGGTGGTTGTTAAGTGAGTTTTTGCCCCCTATTAACCATCTTTCTGGCTATAAGCCATTAAGTGAATCGCTGCAGAGGTTAAAGTTAGTCGCACGGTTGTTAAGTGAATCTGGCTTCCCCGTCGACATGGCTGGTCAGGTGGTTGCAAAAGATGACCACGTGACTTCAGGACACTTCAACCGTCATAACTATGAGTCAGTTGCCAGTTTTGATCTCAATGACTCTGGAGACGCTGCAATGGTTGTTAAGTGTGAAAAATGGACGTAAGTCACCTTTTTTCAATGCCATTGTAACTTCGGCCACTAACCAAACTCTTGTAAGGCAGTCCAGAAAAACAACAAAGAAGTTTAAAAAAATGGAAATGAAGGCCTCATAAGGTTAATGTTCTGACCAAGAAACCAGGAACTAGGATTGTTCAAACGAATGCAGGTTTACGGCATGCTAGCTCTCCTCTCTACAAGAATCTGAACTACTAACAGTCAAGGCAAACTGGCGGTAGATGAAGGTCAATGGAATTCAAATTGGGCTGGGCTTAGAACTCTTGTGGGTGTGAAGGGACTCCGAACTGATGATGCATTTCACTCAGTAGTGGGATTCAAATTTTTTGACTACCGGTTCTGTGGGTGTGGCTTGGTAGGCGTGGCTTGGTGGGCATGGCAGGGGAAGGTTACTGCAAAATCCCCATTCCTTCCCCACCCCACTAACCTGCTTTCCAGCTCCGTTCTCCTGTGCAGGGCAACCAAAGGAGACCCAGCCGATCAGCTGGGACTCGATGGGAGGCAGAGAATAGATGGGGTTGGCGGGTCCAGTCAGAGGCGGTATTGGCCGGTTCTCAGAACTGCTCAAAATTTCCGCTCCTGGTTCTCCAGAACTGGTCAGAACCTGCTGAATTCACCACCTCTGATTTGACCCCTCCCTTGGGTTCTGCCTGGTCATAATACAACAACAGAATGTTGGAAGGGGACCACGGAGGCCTTCTAGTCCACCTCCTATAAAAACCATCAAGGTGGCTTTGCGATTCTGGAACGTCACACATCCTTCTGAGAACGATTTTGGACTCACCTCAAAACATCTTTGCTTCTTGGCTTCGTGCAAGAGTTCTACCATGCTGGGAAGAAGCACTGGGAAAATGTAGCATTCCAAGAATTCCCTGGGCATACCTGGACAGATCAATGTTTGCTTTTACAACCATGTAAATATTAAGTCTGTTCCATTTACATATCATATAATAAGCTCTCTGGTTCACAGTCCCATTTCTTCCCTCCCTAGTCACTACACTTAATTCTTTTAACTTTCTCCTCTCGTCCGTTGTAAGCCACCCAGAGTCACCTAGGTGCGAGTTGGGGGGGGGGGGGGCTCTACAGATTTATTAAATAATTCAACAAATAATTACATTTTTTTTCTATTCCCTCCTTCCATCTTCCACCCAGCTAGGCCTTTCGACAACCCACCTCACAGGGTGCAGGGAAAATAGGAGCATTATGTACCTTCGCTGCCTTGAGTTATTTGTAAAACTTAGATAGGTGGGATTAAAATCTAATCAATAAATACAGATAGTTTTTGATGTTACAGATAAGCTCTTGATGTACAATCTCAATTGAGCCCAACATTTCTGTTGCTTAAGTGAGGCAGTTGTTAAGTGAGTTTTGCCCCATTTCACGGCCTTTCATTCCACAGTTGTTAAGTGAATCAATGCGGTTGTTAAGTTAGAAACCCGGTTGTTAAGTGAATCTGGCTACCCCCCCCCCCATTGCCTTTGCTTGTCACAAGGTTGCAAGAGGGGGATCTCGGAACCCAGGGGCCCTGCGACCGTCATAAATATGAGCCGGGGGCCAAGTGCCCGAATTTCGATCACTTGAGCGTGGGGGAACGGCAGTGGTTGTTAAGTGAGAAGACTGATCATAAGTCCCTTTTTAATGCCGTTGGAACTTCGAACCGTAAGTCGAGGACTACCCGTGGACCTGTTTTTGTCCGTTTTTTTCTTTCTGCATCTCTGTTTGAAAACTTGCAGTAAAAACAGCTGAACGTGGGCAAACCAACCCCGATTCCACAGACTGCAACGAGGAAACGGGCAGAAATCGAGGTTAAGACTGGTTGTCCCTTCGTTCCCCTCGCTTCCTTTTCAAAAAAGAGTCCCTCATAAAGAAAGAGAAGCTTGCACAAGGACAGCGGCGTACATGTTTTTAAGTCAGGGGGTTCAGGAGCTATCAGTGCAGAAAGAAGAGACAGGGTCTTCTGGGGCGGCACTTCCTCCGTAATCACAGGCTTGCTCTCAGCCCCACTCGGCTCTGGCGGCTCTGGGAGTGGCCCGGCGGCAGCGGGAACCTGCTGAATACCAAAAACAAGGAGATAAATGCCTGATTTCAGTGTAAATAAACACCAGGAAGAACAAAATGAAGGTTTGATTCTGAACCTACTCTGGAGGAGGAGGAGGAGGAGGAGGGGGGAAGAAGGGAGGAGGAATGCGACTATGTGCTCTTTGAGCTTGGTGGCTTTCTTGCAGATGTTTCTTGACCCAACTAGGTAACATCTTCAGTGCTAGTGAGTGTAGTGGGGTTTGCTCTCTATTTATGTACACTGGCTTCCCTATCAGTATTAGTGGGAGAGTTGTTTTCTTCTTGTTGGTTCTTTGATTAGGTTGTTGCTTATTACTTGGTTAACCTTGATTAGTTTACTTACTTTAGCAAAGCACCTCCTCGCCAGCAATCAACACGCAAATAAGCAGAGGTTAATACCAAGATTAACACTAGACCAACAATATAGCAGTAAACAACATCCCAATCAAAGAACTACCAAAAAAAAAAAAAAACACCTTCCACCAACACCGACAGGGTAAGACACTTGTATGTGAACAGAGATCAAAACCCACTACCTTCTAGCACTGATGATGTTATCTAGTTGGGTCATGAAATGTCTGCAAGAAAACAACCAAGCTCAGAGAGCAACCAAGGGCCCCACAATAATTCTTTAAATGATGATTTCTCCGTCTGGATACCCTCCACAAAATGCAGGGTGTGTTTTAACTCCCAGGAATCTCCAGCCACCTTGGGAAATTCTGGGGGATGAAACTGTACGTCTGGAGTGTGCCTTGGGGAAGTTGATCTAAAGGGTTAGGAATGTATCCTCCTGGATTGAGAGTGCTTAGGTTTCTTGGTTTGATCCAGACATTAGCCAAACTTCCAAGGTCAGGAATTTACAGAGCACGTGTTTAAAGAGTCGCATATAAGCTTCATTGTGGGAGGAAAACAATAATTAAATGATCATTAGGGAAAAGAGTTCTTAATAATAAGGATTCTAGTATTTTTTAATTTTTTTTTTAGATAATGGGGGGGGAAAGGGGAACACAGAACTTAGCGGGGACTCGCAGTTTTTCTGATTAAGACCAGAATCTGAAATATGTAAGGACACATAGAAAAACGGAGCTGAGTGTAGCTCAAGAGGGCTGATTCGTAAGGACAAAGCTGGCTGCATTGAACCGAGCCTGTCAGTTCATATTAAGACATATAATGTACAAGCTGCAAAATGAGATTTGCTACATAGGGAAGGGCTGGCCCTTCATGGCAGACAGGCATGCAAAAATAACTAAATTCAGCTTCTGGCATCTCCAGGCAAAGCTGGAGAAAAACCATGGGGTGGGGTTGACAAGACTGAGCTGAATAGCTCAGAAGCTCAGCACAAACCCCGACAGGCAATTTGGATTTAGAAACACACCACAAGCCAGGATTCCCAATTTGGATTACATGCTACCATGCGCCTGACCTCTTTAACAGACCTTTCAAGGCAGGGGTGTCCATTCTTGCCTAAGACTTGTGGACTTCAATTCCCAGAATTCCCCAGCCATTATCACATCTAGCTTGTACAACAGCCTCTTTTTTCCCCCTTTGAAATTGAAATATCTCAAACACCGTAATCTTTCACAAGGTTCTATGCACAAGGGCTGTGTATCTATAATGACAATCTTTTGGCAATGTTGTAAGGGAATATTTATCTTCTTGTTTTTTTTAAAGAGCATAAAAGAGTTCCAGAATTTTTTTTTAAAGACAGGGAAGAGAGCCACTATCTGGATTTTTCTTTTTACCTGTAAGGCAGGTGGAGGTGCCTCTTTCTTTTCCAAATGATCCGGATGAACAGGCTGTTGGGCTTCAAATTCTGTTGTTTGTTTGTTTTCAAGAAAACAAGAGAAAAGGAAAGGGACAAAGAGAAAAGGCAAAGAAATCAACTCACGGAATCCTATATGGAGGATTAAAGATCAAGATTTTTAATTTGTTGCCATTTCTGGAAGCCCTTAAAGGATTTTTCTGGCTAAATTAGAATGCCCTGGCTTTGAAGATTTATTTATAGAGATAAGATAGGGGGAAAATTTTTCCTGGTTGCCCTTTTAAAGAAAATGATGTTACTATGTTAAAAGGAAAACCAAAGAATACAGAAACTGATTATTAAGA